GGTGAAAATCAATGTGATGGCGTATATTATTAATAATGGGGCCGCTAATCTTTGTTACTAATAATACTCTCCCCGGACATTCTATAGTTTGGCTGAGAATCGCATCTGAAATCTTACATATCGAAAGCAACTCACTCACCCACTGCCACTATTGAGCCACGGTGGACGTCAGTGTAGGTAGTTACTCTATACATAGCTTTTAAGTTTTTCCATTTTGTATAATAAAACTGCAAGAAAACAAAAACAACAAACAGTAATTGAAAATGCAGCATTGGCCTCAAACGCAAATTGCGGTTACTGTAAAATTGCATGCCATTGTTTTTTATTCATGAAATAGCCACGCCAATGCCAACTATAATAGAAATATGGTTATGAATAATCCCTGAAAAATGTATGTGGATATACAATTACCTATGACGACGCTAATAACAACACGTTTGACATTGACACAGTTATTTGTAGGAAGTTTCTTTTGAACTATGTCACATAAAATATTTATTACTTTAACTAGGCATGAAGTTTAAAATATTTATAACTTAATCATCAGTACTCTTAACTAGATTGATTGCGTTTAGTTGTCTTCCTAATAGAATATCTATCGTAATAAATTCACAAAAAATTAATCATACGGTAGTTTGCAGGGGGGCACATGAAAGTAACTTATAAAATTCATTATTTAAGCTAGCAATTCATTATTTTAATATTATATACATATATAAAGACGTATTAACTACTACTACTATAATACTAACATTGTTATTTATCTTATGCGCAAAATACATTACCTTCCTTTCTTCGGCATTCGAGTAAAATATGAATAAATGTATTAATTTCATCAATTTTATTTCAATTTCAACCAGCCATTTTGTTCATTAACTATACGAGTATCGCATATTTAATTAATGAATTTTCTTATACATAGTACATATTTTTTTTACGTATTATTTTGCATATATATAAAAAGACATTATAATCCGCTAGTCATAAAGAAATTAAATAAAAAATTAAAACGTCTGTATCCCATAAAATTCTAGATACCTACGTACATAATTGGTGTTGTAGCCAAAATGGATTTTTTTATGATTGCAATAAAAGAAAGCCTTCGCCGACCAATTCCTTTTTTTAATTAGACTGTGTTACCATTTTACTCGGCTTGCTGTTTCGCTGAATAATAATTTATTTTTAATTATTTGGTACAATGTTTTGGTTATTTAAACCATGTCATTCTAATTGTAAGCGATAATTAATATTTGCAACATTTACTTATTTATTAAAAGAGCTTACTAAAAATCATCTACATATATTTTAATAGTTCAGTAAAAGATTTTTTATTGAGCTATTAACTATTTACTGCTAGTGTACGTACGTACATATTTCTAATTATAATGTTATTAAATTTTATCGGAAATTTCTTTCGTGTAAAAATAACCTATGTTTTTCATCATCGCATTTAGTACGTTACCAATTTATTTACCAAATAGCGATTAGTTATACCGTTCACAACTATTCAAAATTTTCTTGCACTTGTTTGTATCAATAATAAGTTCACTACTGTAATCTTTTGAAGGACACAAAAGTATCAATCACAATAATGTTCAATTATTTTACTTAATACATTTTTAAAAGTTGGTACCAACATTTAATAATTATCATACGTACTTGATATATTTCCATAAAAACTAAAGTAAGAAATATATTTCATAAAGATCATACTGATATTTTCAGGAATGTGAACGTTATTGTGTTTATTTCTAATGTAATGTAGTAATAGAGTTCATCTTCATCGACTGAATGGTTTTATCTTTTTTTATATAAATTTAAATTGGAACAAACAAGATTACGATCGACGATTGTAAACTACATATATCAGCAATTCAAGAACGAAACTACAATATCTGCAATCGATATTCAAAATTACCCGTACTACTAAACAGACCTTAATAAATTTATAGTTAGCTGCCGATAATCTGACCTTGTTTAGAAATAGCAGTAACGTGACACGATAGCAATACATACGTATAAATAACTATCAATAAATAAACTGATGCATCAGACCTTGACCTAGCCTTCACCGCATATGGCTCTTGGCCGCATTTAGGTATATTAATTAAGTATTATACCTAAGTACGGCTAACGCTATAAAAATTTTAAATTATTAATTATGGGTATCTAACCCACAAAGCATTTAAAACTTTGTATTGTTCCTGATAACTCACAATTTAAATTGTAAGAAAAAAATATATTCAAAATAATCTGCAGAACTTCTTATTGTCTCTCAAATAAAAAGCTATGGTGCCTACTTAAATGAGTTTGTACACTCACTTCTCGCGTTAAACAAAGTCACAAATTAGAAATAAGCGTTTGCTTCTCTCATAAAAGTTAGTTTTCACAAGCAAATTTGGTGTTGTCTTTATCGAGTTCAGTTTATCACAGTGTCATCAAATATTAAACTCATCAAATAAATATGAAATATCTTAGTCAGATGAATCCCAGCCTTATATACAACCTCTTAATGTCTTTGAAATGTTTCGAAGATATCTTCAGATACATTTACTTATCTCTAAGCTTTAAGACCGTCATTTGCCAAATATCTGTCCTTGTATCTATTATACTTAATGGTTACTATGGATTCCGCACGCAAACAATCTTTGTCTTAGAAGTTTCTCCATCAATTGAATCTAATACTGATAACATTCCCACAATATTCAACGAACTATTGTATAATAAGGATCGCTCTATTGATTCATTTAAAAAAAAACGAACGTTAAACATAGAATATGGATAGTTACAAGAAAAATGTAAAAAGATTAATTCCAATATTATATATATAGTCAACAGACATCAACGAAGAAGGTATCGTTAGTTATGGGGAAGTTAGTCTCTATTGCTAGCAATATACTCTATTAAATCGACCTCCGCTGAAACCATTGTGGTTAATTCTTGTGAAATTCGACACGATGGGCCATTTGACCTGCTTTTATCCTTACCTATCATCCCTCACTTGAGCCTTGTTATCGTATACTGTCATCTATCAAATAAAATATGTACCGAAGAATGTTTTATAGCAATTCAAATAACTTAAAAATAAAGACGGAAAAGCACTTATTTTAAATATATGCCATTTCGTCCGTTTTGCTCCGCCAATGTGGTTAAAAGAGGAAACATTCCAAACTCCAAGATATTTTTATGCGTCGTCGTAAAAGCCACTTTAACTGAAGCCGGAAGTTTGTTTTTATAGGCGAATGCAAATCTAGAACTGTTTACTTTGGATTGGAGTAGACTCTGACGAAATATGTTATAATATCCACGAGAGAATAATAAATGAGCTTGACATTAGGGGAACATAAGCCTGTAATGATTACTTAGTATTCTTACGTTTTCCTTGTTACTAATATTCCAATTTTTCTATGTAATGAATATTTTGTTTCGTTCAGTCGTAATAATTTAAGAAATCTATATATGTACCTACTTATTAAGTTTTGCAGACATCTTCAAAAATTCTTCCTATTTTTAATTACTAATAAAATAAGAAATTATACGTAAAAAGAATGGTCCTATAATTATTTAGTGCTAGCTGTATCCTGTACATAAATAAATACATATAAGTATTTTATGTATTGATGTTGAATATACCGTTTATATCGTTCTTATTTATGTCCGTTTAAAATCTTTTATAACCGTCACATAATTTTGGCTACTAGCTGACACGGTTCTCAAGTTGAAGTTAATAATACACATTACAAAAATCCATTAAAATCGATCGAGTGGTTTTGGGGACGAACGAACATCGTAACATGGGATTTTATACGTTAAGACTAGCTTTTTGCTTGCTACTTCGTATGTGTGGATTTCACAAGTAGAAAACCCAATGAAATAGATCACTATAGATGACATATTAAGATGAAATCTGTTCCAAAAAGTGCAGTAGTTTTTGCGCGATGCCAGAATAAACATACAGACACACAAAATTTCTAAAAATTATTTTTTTGGCTTGTAAATAAATTAATATAATGATTGGAAGATGATGATTTTTTTATTTCTATTGCTCCTATTAAGATACTTCATGTCAATTTTTCATAGATATGACTCGTCTCATTTACAGACATCGTCTAGCTACAATGTTATTATATTATTAAAATTTACTATACCAAATAGAGAAAAAAAAGTAGAAGGAAAAAAATCTTAAAAGGTTATCTATAGTTTTTCTTGTAGTAGTACTTGTAAGTATGGCCAAATACATGACCCACACACTAGACGATTCTACTCTGTGATTTAGTAATATGGTGCAACTGTACAAAGGTGAAAACGTGTGAAGCTTCCTTATTTCACCTCAGAGTCGTAAAACGTCCTGAAGAACGACACATGATTCCAATGTAGGCAAAGGGAGGTACAGTGATTTCTCGGCGAACTAAGTTCTGTAACTTTATTGTAAATGCTAATTTAAACACAGAGTTTAGCTAGAAACTTCGTGTTGCTTTATTGTTCTTGTAATTTTAATGAGACATAAAGTACATGTTACTTATTAATTAATTATTGACAATTCACATACGTGAATACATATCTATGTTTTAGATATTATAATAATAATAATAGTTGGATATCCTGTGGTAACCGGACGACGAATATCCTAAATTACCCCAATCGAGAATCGAAGTAGGAACCTAATTTAAGCAAAGCACCATACCCAACATGGCACAACAGGTGGGGAAGAGATTGTTTGTAATGGGATCTAACTGACCCATTGCCAGCCTTTCAGATCAACCTCCACGCCATTCCCCCTGGAAACCATCGTGGTTAATTCTTGTAGAATTCTTCACGATGGGCTAACTAACCTGCTTTCATCGTCACCTATCATCTCTCACTGGTGCCCTGCCAGCATATACTAATAACGCAGGCGGGGTTAGCATTTCATTATCACTCATTAAAAAAACTTACACCACAAATTCGTCTATATTTTTTTTCATTGGTCACCTATTTTAATTATGTCTCCCTCTTTTCAGGTGCTGGAGAAGTGTTTGAGGATATGTTAACATGGTATGTTGGGACTTCTAGTTACAATTAATGAAATAAAATATGTCAATACTTTTACGATGTAATAGTACAAAGGTCGAGGTTGCATATTGAATATTTTATCAAACGTACCGCTGATCATTATAGTTACCTAATATACCATATTTAATCCTAATAATTTTTTTACGAGATGTAATCATTTATTGTACGATTATTCGCCGCTATTTTCGTTTTTACAAATTATTTTTAACATGTTATTTGCCTTAATATTTAATTACAAGACGAACATTATTATAATTTTCATATGTTTAAGATTATATAAATACTTCTTTTTGTATAGTTAAATATCGATATTTATATATAAGACAGTAAACTATTATATATGTATACTATAATTTATATCAACTGCCTTGCAGGTGCATTTAAAGATATTTACAAACAACAAAACAGGATTATATATATATTTCTGTCTATTCTAATAAAGCAATGACTGTGATGTAGAGATGCTATTCGGAAGAAGCAATGCCACGAAAGAATTTATTGTTTAAAATGTGCTAGTCGATTATAATTCGATGGAAACCGCATGGAGTCGCGTGCGCAGATGAGTCAATCGCTGCCCACCAAACACCACCGGCCTGAGGCAACCTACAGGAGTTGTTCGCAATCTTTGCCACTCGATATTCTGTAAGTATTTTTAATCTATAATTACTCGTTTTACTGTATTATCTGCATATAAAGTGTTCTAAGTATTAAGTTAGGATATGACCCATCAGTGCACCAAACATTCGAATCCGTTCAACCGTTTAAGAGTAATTGAATAACAAATATCCTTATATATTTACAAACTTTCCTATTTTTTTTGCACCTTAGAATGGCAAGCAAGCTGACAGCCCACCTGATGGAAAGTGGTAACCGTCACCTATAGACATGAGCAGTACTATGGACATAACAGAGTATACTGTTTCGCCTATGATACCCCCCATGCGTTGCTATTCCTGAGGTCAATAAATATTTTACAATACAATACAATTGTTAGATTAGACTTGACGAATGATGTGTTTGAAAGAGGAAACATCCGAAAAGATGAAAGGACTATGTCAAAGAAGATATGAATGTTATTCCTGTGTAACAGCAGTAAGATGTTTGAATGAAGATCAAAATGGAAAACATGTCAACCCTGCCAATTATGGGAAAAAGGCCTGGAGAGGATAATTATAATTATCGCTAACTAGCCGCGACTCTGCGTGACCGGGATAAAAAGTAGCCTACGTCGTCTCAAATATAACATGTACCCCGGTCACGCGGGCGAAGTAGCGGGTAATGAATAAACCTTATATATTATAAATCAGAGAGAGAGACCATCAGAGGGAGACTTTGTACAAAAGTCGTTTGTTTGTGCACCACTGTCCCATTCGTGTTTCTACCGTGAAGCAGTTGCGTTTGCATGGCCGTATTTCAGTTTGAAGGGTAGGATATGGCAGTGGATTTACAGGGTACAGAGGCATAAAACATCATATATCATGGGAGTAACATGGGCGAAACAGTATAGTCTGTTACGTCCATGGTACTGTTCATGTCTATAGTACCACTTTCCATCAAGTGAGCCATCAGCTTATTAGGCAACCTAAGTATGTACTAAGCATGAAAAATATAAATATTTACCTACATGTATCCGTGTTATACTTTCCATCAGGTGGGCCATCAGCTTGTTTGCCATTCTAAGTTGTATAAAAAAATATCTAGCTACTTATCTAATAGTGTCACAAACGTAGATACTACTACTTCAGTTAGAGGTCAAACCTATAACCTAAGGCCATCATTTTATCATTAACGTGTCTCTTTTCTGTTGTATACAACTGCGCCCCTATGCTATAACGTACATTTTATTACTTATTATTGTCGTGCACTACAGGCTGTTTGTTCTTTAACAGTTTTTTTTTTGTTTTTCTTATAACTAAAAATTATAATAAGAAAGTAAATTTTATTTTTTACAAATATTAAAAGCATGTAATGCACAAATATAAAAAAAAATGTAAAGAAAGGACTAAATTTGTTAACATAATGAATTTATTAATACGACTAGGGTAAGACAGCCATAGGTTCACTCTCTAGCACTCGGTGTGCTATAAAACATATAAAAGCCACTACGACAGAGAACATGGATACTTTTATTATGGGGACAGATTTTCCAGCACTGGGTTATGGATTATGAATGTTTATGACGTAGATGGTTGCCCCGATCGTCGTTCCGGCCGGCAGAGGGCGAGCTGGCGGACTGCGTGCTGGTGGTGGGGGTGTCGCGGCCCAAGCTCGCCGCGGCCCTCCTCTCCGTCACGCTGCTGTCGCTCTTCCTCACTTTTCATGTGCTTTACGACAGCGCTCTCTATAGTATACAGGTGAGGTCCTTAATAAACATATAATTCTTATCACCAGAGAGAACTCTCATTCACTACCACAATTTGTATGAGACTTCCCTTATAAAATCATGTATTAAGAATACAATTGAAGCCTTTCATGTCAATAAACTGAATATGGAACCAAAACGAAAGTAAACAATTTCAGTTAAAAAGAATTGAGGAAGAAATCGCATACCATTTAGAAAAATAAATACAGTGGATCATTTTTCTTAAGGGATCGTTTTCCAAAAATGCTCAAACAAGTGTCTTTTAAGTTTAATATTACATAAAAGCTTTCTTAGAAATCATTTTATATTTCCGTCTGCCATATACAAAGATTTTATTATGCAAATTTACTCTTTATAGATTCAGTAGTTTCGGCTCAATGACGGCAAGTTATTAAAATATTAAAAATATGTATATACCTATATTTCTAAGATACGTTAGGTTATAAGTTTTTAAAATGAATGTTTCTTTAACAAAATTTGTCTGCTGTACTCTATGTAGATATTCTAAATATTACCATATTAGGATCAATCATCATATCATTTATTGTCCACTGCTGAAGATAAACCTCCCCTAAAAGGGGGGTTTTGCCAATAGTTGCCACGTTGGCAACCACAGTTAAGATTTTGTGACGTTTTAAAAGGAACGCTGCTGCCCATTCCTCGATCAATAGGTTCCCTTGATTGTCTCTTACGACACCCACGGGAAAGGATGGAGTGCCCTAGTCTATGCCGGCTTTACGAGACTTTGAAAAAAAATAATTGGATTAATATCGTATAAACTAAAAATTTGTTGAACATATACAATGACATGACACAATGACATGTGTACTACGGAATATAGAGAATTTGAAAATCTTAATTCAACACAAAGTGTTATGTTAATTGACTTTTGTTCGATATTGACCACTAAACATTTCCTTAAATTTATAATCACCTATAGATAATCTCAAATTCACTAATCGTGCACTAGTTCATCGGTACAGACTGTACTCGGTGCGTGCTACATAAGGGCGTGTCAGAGCAGACTTTGCACCATACAGTCTCATAACTCAGTACCTACTGGCCACTACCTATCATGAATGTTGTAACAGTAATTAATGGTCAAAGCCGCTATTCTCCGCAGATAACCTGATAGCGCTGTGCTGCCCTTCTTTAGACACTTGTTCTCTAAGTTTAAAGTTAAGTGCCTTTTAAAATACAAACTAATTAGCCAACTTGTATATTTTTCTACGATAATAGGCTTAAAATCTAAATAAATTACAAGTATTCTCGTAATTTAGTTTAGGGAAATATGTAACCCAACGCGATTTTTTAGCCGGGTTAAAAGTGTGGTAGATTGTATCGTAACAGGTATTTATTTGAGATGTATTATGATTTCTTATTTTTTCGACTTCGTTTTAGGTGTTTTTTAATTGGCATAAACTAACAAATAATAAGTATATTATTAACTATATATATAATTTTGGATCTTTGCATATAAGTTCTTGATACGAGTATAGTGCAGATAAACAATAATAAACGAATTTTAAAAATTCACTCCCGAAGAGGACAAACAGGTGATGAAAGTCAAAAGCGAGCAAAACTGCGGACAAAGATAATTAACTATAAACTAGGTTAAAGATCGTCGTGTGTAATGAAAGTAGCCTAGAATTTTTGACACCAGAGGGCGACACAATAGTATTAACGATGCGTTATTATCATCGTGATTTAAAACTAAAACTCGTAATTATTTAAATAAATATAATCACAATATTGTACACTGCTCTATCCGCTAACACTGATGCGCCTTTCCACTTTGGGTTTGTTGGAAGAAAACTCTATTTGAGTTAAGCTCGCCTTTGTACATTTGATTACCTCTGTCATATTCTTATAACTGGTGTGTACAATAAAGAATTAAATAAAAATAAATAAAATAAAATAAAATTATTGGAAATCGTTTAGTTAATAATACCGTAAAGTTCTTGAAACAAAAGTTATTTGGTTCCGAGGAACACAATCAACTAAAAGGTCATCGTTTGATTTAAGGTCACGAACACACTACACAGTTAACCAAGGAAAAGAACCCCACGATTATACAAACATTACTGTCGTCGTGCATGCTTTGTTTCTAAGGAATGTACGTTTACCTATTAGCTTTGTAGATGTAAATTAATTATTGTATGTAAGAATTATATATTACAATTGATGTACTTGATTTTATTTACTGTGAGTGACAGGTCACTGAGAACTATAGCTATAAAATATTATATCTTCGGTTATTGCTTATTGGAACTCAAACCATATCATCCACATAAATCACTTATAATATCATTGCTATCTACTCTATTAATAAGGAATAGTTTTACTCCAATGTTATATACATTTTAGAAAAAATGTGATGATAATAGAGAAGATGTCCGACCACTCGTGTAAACTCAAAACACAGCTCGTGTAACTAGAGATTATGACTAATGATAAATAATTAAGTTTCCATCCACCCTTTATGGCAATTTTCTTCATTAATCTAACTGGAGGCGCATTATTAATTTCATATTTGCGTAGGCGGCAAGCTTGGCATCGGCCGCGAGCGAAAACCGTAAGATCTTACAGAATCAAGAAAGCCACAGTCGGACCATTAATCATCCAATGGCGCTAAGGAAAAGGCTACGTGCACCCCGCCAACCCCGGCCGGCACGCAGACTCCCTCAGGTATTTAACGTAATCAGCAATACAGTACAATAATTAGCAGTACAGTAGATACTAGGAATTATATATAGAATAAAGAAATTAAAGTCTACCTTTAATTATATCTATCTATCTTTGATTACCCACATTTAGCTCTTAATTGCTAACAGTGGTATTTTCCAAGAGTACACTTTAACTAGCGTCGTATTTTATTTGCTGCGACTTGCATTTTATTGGTTGACACCAAACACTTTGTACATTCATTTAGATTTCCGACTAATTGTCTAGCAACTGAAAACACAGATAATAAAATAAATTATTCCAAGTATCGACGGTAGGTTCACTTCTACCATGTTGTATTCTAATATGTTCTGAGAAATGTGAGTATGTAAATGTTATTTTAAACACGACGACAACAGGCGACAAATATCTCTGACGGGGTAGGAGTTATGAGTGTATTTATTTACATTTTATATTGGGAGGTTTAGCAATATGTATATTTCATTTACTTGATTATACATAATTAATATTTATGAATTGTTTTGTAGGCATTAATAATTGGTGTACGGAAATGTGGTACTCGTGCTCTATTGGAAATGCTATACCTCCATCCGATGGTCCAAAAAGCTTCAGGAGAAGTTCACTTTTTTGATCGCGATGAGAACTACGCATTAGGATTGGAATGGTATAGAAGCAAAATGCCTTTATCTTTTAAAGGACAGATTACAATTGAGAAGAGTCCGAGTTACTTTGTTACTCCTGAGGTAAGAACGAACTAAAAATGTTAGATAATTTCTTAAGAACTAAATTATATTTTTTATATTTTATTCATTTTGAAATTGCCAGGTACCAGAGCGAGTGCGAGCAATGAATTCTTCGGTTCGGTTGCTCCTGATAGTCCGAGAACCAGTTACTCGGGCGATTTCCGATTACACGCAACTACGAAGTCGAGCCACTCCATCAGCACCTGCACAACCATTGGCTCCGGGTCATCCATTGCCTGATGCTGCGAAGCCTTTCGAACATTTAGCAATTTCGCCAGATGGTTCAATAAACATGGCATATAGGTTCGTCTCATTTCTGTCTAAAAACTTAATATTTTTGATAAGTAACTTTTCTTAGTGTCCTTTTCTTTCTGCAGACCAATAGCAATATCTTTATATCACGCTTACCTTCATCGATGGCTAGAAGTATTTCCAAGGGAGCAAATTCTCGTGGTGAACGGTGATTTATTGATTGAAGATCCAGTACCACAATTACGCCGTATTGAGAAATTTTTAGGATTGGAGCACAAAATAGGTAAGTCATTACTTATTTTATTATTATTATGATATCTTGTGTTAATTGCACACTGCTAAATTTAATCCTCCATAATACGGGGAAGTTTTGCCAGTAGTAATGATTCTTCATTTCAAATATTAGGTATAAAAAATATGTGAGAAATGGTTGTTGTTACGCTAAGTACCCAATACCATAATGAGTTCCTTTATTTTCTATTAGGACGAAAGAACTTTTACTTCAATGAAACCAAAGGTTTCTATTGCTTACGAAATGATACCACGGACAAATGTCTACGGGAAACTAAAGGACGTAAGCACCCAAGAGTAGATCCAGCAGTCGTCACAAAATTGAGAAAGTTCTTTATCCAGCACAACCAGAGGTTCTATGATTTAGTTGGCGAGGATCTCGGATGGCCAGAAGACTAGTTTATAAATAAATCCATCTACTAATCTGCAATTGATGGAGACACCCTATCGTTGTGATCAAATACATATCAATGTAATAATACACATCAATAATACATATCACTAGTTAATAAGTTTTTTAAATCGTTTATGTATACATCTAGCGTAAATTAGAATAGTACTTACACTTAAATTTATTTATAACTGTGGTTTACAACCATGTAGAAAATTATAAAATTCGACGCAAAATTTTAATATTCTAAATTTAAAGTTTTGTTTTTTATTTTGTATCTTTAATACGTATAATTTTTTTTTTTGCAATTAATGAAAGGGAACAATATTATAAATTTGAAAAAACCCAGTAAACTTAGACATCTTGAAAGAAAATTTCAAAAGTCATTTTTAATAATCATAAATATTTGTTATTTAATACAAGATAATGATGAAAGTATCTAGGTATTTTGTTTCGAACCACTGAAAGGAAATCTATCTTAGCTATTTTAAATATCTCGATTTCGGATAATATTCATACTATTTTGAAAACGTTTTAGTTGATATAGATTTCATGTACCATGGAATTAAGACTTATATTTTATAATTTATTATCTGATCTTACAGGTATTCTTCGATATATCTCTTTTTTACCTACCTTTATAGTCGTAACCTATGAACACTTACTCGTTTCAGAAACTAAACTTTTCTCTAAGGTAGAACATTCTGTTTGATTGTTTAACATATTTTACAAAATACCAAAATATTGTCTAATTTTACTGGGTAACAATCTAAATAATAATTTTGAAAATTAATTTAATTATACGTCATTATCGTAGCTCTATTTGTTTATTCTAAACGTTGTTTGTATTAGGAGTAATTACCAGCAGTGAATACGCACTGATTTGATAGACCGACCCACCGAAACCTTGAGCAATATATTTTTATATATACCTAATTAAATATTATGTGCAACTTTTATATTTATACAATGTTTATTATACAGATTAAAATATTTTTACTGTTTATGATCATTTCCGTTTTAAGAAATAATTATTTATATAGGTGTAAAAATCAGAATTATGTATTAAATAATAATTAAATTCGACAAGAATGAATGTTGTACAATTTTCGCTTTCTCTTTTTAGATGTCGTGATTTGATCGTGCTGTGTGACATAACGTGTATAACTGTATTTTGTTGTTAGTGTATGTGATTTTCTCGAGTCTTAGGCAAAATATTTCATATTGCAAACACAAAATCTACAATTGAAAATAAAATTAGTATAGTTGTATTATTATTGAATTCGTCTCGTTTCTGTAGAACAAAAGTTGTAAGCTATTAGTCTCCAAATAAATCTGTGTGTCTCTTAAATAATATATGACTGTATACTTTTTCTAAATCTTGTTCTCAAAACTTGTTGTATGTGGTGGTAAATGCATAGGAAATTAGTTTACACGCTGATTCTAACGATAATTTTAAAACTTGGAGAGGTATGAATTCGACGCGGGTTTTAGAAGTATTCTATTTAAGTGTAACGTCCAAGACTGAAGAGTTAGTTGATTAAGTCTAAGTAATACCTATTTAGCATAAAATGTCCATAGGTAATACGTAAAACAGCGGCAATGTTGCAAGCCCTGATATAAAAGATTATCAAACATTTTAATTTGTTAAGATCGAAATCATTTAAATTCGATAAGGATATCCTAGTAGAACGTTTGCTTCCAAATCCAAATTTCAAAGTCAACGAATATTTATAAACATGTTTTTATAGATCCAAATAAAATTTGCTACATTTATTGGGCGCTTCGCGGCATTCCACTAATGTGATTGTAGCGACATATAGTCGTTACATCTAATTTATTAAGAGCACCAAGCTGCTAGAATTTGATACAAGTTGTTCAAATACAAACAATCATGATTAATTTAAATATATCTATTTTGCATTCACTTTTAATTTAAACCTGGACTAAAACCTCTTAATATAATATTCTTTTATTAACTTATGATATCATTATGTAGGTAGGTAATTATAATATATATAGTATAATACTTTTTAGATAAATACTAAGTAACAAAGAAAGAAATACCGGGTAACTAGGTAACTATTAAAACATATTTAATGATGCCGTATTGATTTTGACATTTATTATGAACACGGATGTTATGTGATTAAATATCCCTTAATAACTGTTCCCAAAAATAAATCATTACTAAAATCAAATTATATAAGCTTTGTGTATGTTAATTTGTTTGCTACGTTTATAGTGCGAAATGGGGTAGGTAAACATTTGATGTTTCTAGCGTCACTGCGCTCTATTGTAAACTCTTACTAACAAACGAACAGTACAAATAGATACTAATACATACATATTATTAAAATTTGGGACTACTAAAACAAAAGAATGGACTATTTTATAATCAATTATTGATATATAATAGTCAGATATATAATCTGACTATTGTATCGATATTTACTGCGATATATTACGACACCTAGATTTTTTTAACTATTTATTCAATTTACTTATTCTATACACAGTTCAGTTGTGTGTCATATCCAAAAATCTCACAGGGTTTATCTATTTATCAGCGAGTCTGGGGTTTTGATACATACAATAATTACTATATTGACAAGTATAATTTATGTTAGATAAATTAATTATTTATTGAATGTATGCCCTCAAGCAAGCGGTTTCTTTTAATACATTCTAAGACAGAGACATAAATTGACGTAGCCTAGTCATATACTATCTCAATTCAAAATATTTTTTAGAGAAGTGGATAAAACGAAAAAACTTACCCCCTTATACATAAAAATGTTTTATAAACCTATTTTAGTTGTTAAAGTATTTTGTCCTTTCCTTTTACGCTAAATTCTCAATTTACAAGATAGTGACAAAACATTCTAACAGGATAAAAAGGATTGAAAAAGGTTTAAATCTTAATGAAGAGCAATAAATACTTTAATTCGAGAGAGACAGAAATATATTTATTTTACATTGACTAAATAATTTTTACAACTTGTATCAAAAACAGGAATATCAAACATATCAAAACTTAATAAATCATATAGGTAAGTTTTAATAATTAAGTACCTATTCTAAGTTATTGAGTTACCATTTGGAAATAAGAAAATTTATTTATTTAGATCTAATTCAATAGTTAATAGATAATTTTAATCACTGTTAAATGTTGTGCACGTTCATAATGATAGTTAAAGTTTTAATTAGGGCAATAATTTTTATAGTAATTATTGTTTATTTAGATAAATTAACAATGTTAATGATACTTATACTTTCCAAGATGAAAATGAAATATTTTGTTATTTTGTGTACTGTTTTCCTTAAATGTGTTAATTAATAACTATATTTCATTAATTTCATGTTGATAATTTAAAATTATATTTAGACTATGCCATTTTACGAAGTATTACCTAAATTTTAATGTTACCTACAATTCCTTGTAAATATATCTTCTCAAATTTCTTTCGATAAGTTAATTGTATCTACATCTTCAATAAAATATAAAACAGCACAATTTTGTTTAATTTTTTTTTATCACAGGGCCAAAACGAAACAAATATATCTGGTAAAAACTTATAATAATTAAATAATGATAAGTGACAACGAATTATTTTTTTATATTCTTTATGAATATCTGTAAACAATAACAATGCAAGCTTATGTACTTATACACAATGTCCAATTTTTAAGTCATCTACAAAAATAGATTAATTGAACCGCATGCGAGTTTTCTTCCTTTTGCACTGATGTATATATAGTCTGTTCGAATGTAACTTTTTTTTTATACCACAAAGGTAGCAAGCAAGGATACATGAACCACGAACACTCAGTTATGAAATGAGCTCCCTGCCAAGGTATACCCAAGACACTACAGCATGGGATTCTTCAAAGGGGAGGTAAAGAGGTTTCTTCAGGGTCGGCAACACGCGCGTAATACCTCTGGTATTACTGACGTTCATAGGCTACGGTAACCGCTTACTATTAGGTGGACTCAATGCTTGTTTGCCACCTCAGTGGTATAAAAAAATACAGCCCGTCTGATGGTAAACGATTACTGTAGCCTATGGACGCCTGCAACACTAGGTGTGTCACGTGCGCTTTGCCGATCCTCGAGAAACAATAATATACCCTTTTAACTTAATGAAAATATAAATAAACTAAAATAAGACCTGACCCAAAGACAATCTGCTGTATTTGTATATATGTAATATTGCAAATAAATAAATCGATATCAACTTGGATTATAATATATATCTATTAGGTGTTTTCTAAACTGCAAATAATTATCAGAATAATACCTGAGAACATGCATTATATATTTTCTTGTTTTAATTTAAGGCTGTTTCACAAAAAAGCGACTTCAGTTATGATAAAACAAGTTTTTGATTTAAAAACTAAACTACTAAATAATAAAAAAAATTCCTATGAGACTAATCTAAAAGTATATCCTTTTGGATAAAAAAAAATTTTCAAAATCGGATTGTAACTGACGGAGCTATGAAGTAATGAAGACTAAAAAAATACTACCGAATTGGGAACCTTTTTTTATGAAGTTGGTGGAAAAAAACACAATAACACACGTGTTTATGTCGCCAAGCGCCTGTGCTAACGTGGCTGTATTTGAAGATATAATACCTAAGCTCTCAGAAATAGCACGTGTTAGGGATATTATATACGTCTCAGTATAATCTCTAATGTCCATAGGTCTATTAATGTCTATGGGAATTATTAATTTAGCGTCAGCTTATATATAAAGTATAAAGAGGTCACAAACAGAATATAGGCATTTTAATGGTAGGAAAAAGCACTCCGAATAATGTAACGGTGTACTTGTATTACTTATTCAGTAATTTAAACGAAAGATCGTTTATATAAATTGAAGACGGCATTTTCTGTCAAAAAGAATACTTTAATTTCGGTGAAATTTTTAATTGTAGGTGCTTATATAAAATTAGAATTTTGATCTTAATTATAAATCAATAGTAATTACTTTAAGATTATGAAGGAGGAGATTAATTTTACGAACACAACAAAGACAAAACAAGACAGTAGTAATAATGATAAATACCACGGGGCATATTATAATAGCATTTAGTCCTAAATTAAGAAAAGTTTATGTATTATGAATACTAGGCGAGTGATAGATATACTTAAATGCTTTTTTTTAATACTTACATATTATATATAGAGAGCACCCAAACTAATACAAACAGACACACTCATGAATACAAATGTTTGTATTATGCGGGGATCGAACCCCGAACCAGGGGTAGGTAAATCTGTGTGCTAAGCCGTTGGATCACCAAAGTCATCAAAAACAAAGTCGTTAAATTTATTTTTTATGTTACCTACTAAAAAACTGCGGCAAACTAACATCTCCTGAGGAGAGAAAGAGATTGTTGGTAATGGGAGTCTAAACACTCCATTGCTAGCAATATATCAGATCGATCTCCACACGGTTCTACCTGGAAACCATCATGATTAATTCACGATGAATTCGTCGTAATTGGTCAACTAACCTGACTTCAATCCGACCTATCATCACTCACTGGTACTGGTATAGTGCAGATTGAGTTACTATTCCATCGTGACCCATTAAAAAAATCATCCACTGGATACATGGAGTGGTAAGTTTCGCCTATAGATATAAACAACACGGCTATAGAAAACCTGAAGTCAAATAAAAATGGGCGTTGTATGTGTAACATGCTACTAACATATATATTACGTAAATGTATATTACTAAAGGATAGCCACAAGCAGTATTTTAAGCTGGTGCCTAGAGTAAACATAAATCGTCTTCAACCCTAAAACTGCTATGTACCTGCCGGCATCAATCACGACGCTCGGTGCTCTAGCAATCTCCGACCGACCCTCACCAGCAACAGCAAATAGAGGTCGTGACCGATTGCAATCGGAACTCATAAAAAATAACCAAGGTAGGATCTTGCTACAAATAGCCCGCTTAAATGGTGTAACGACCTCTTGCGTATAGAAAAATGGTAGTTTAATTAAAGTAATGATATTTATTATTTCAACAGCAATTTCTGTTAAATACTAGGTAAACGATCACACAGAACGTAAAAAACGTATAGTTATTTTAAGAGGTGTTTTAAAATATAATTTTATTTGAATTAGTGAATCGAAATCGAATTCAAAATTATTATCATTTTTTTATTACTACTTACCAGTATTTACGCATAAATATTGGAGAATACGACATTTTTCAAAACAAACATGAGTGAAATATCAACAAAAAATTTAAAACCTTCCATAACTTGATGACTGGACGGATCATGTTGACACGTGTAGGAAACTTGATATTTTATGTCGTTTTTGACCCAGTTTTGTTTTGGAAACAATGTTCAATTTCACTGGTACACACTTCTAGCGAAAGGAGCTTATGTTTTTATTTCATCCGATTATTTCTTATTCTAAACGATTTTTAGTTTCAAATATATGATTTTAAATTATTAAAAAAATTAACAAAATTGCTAATAGGCAGTTTTAATATTTGGCGTTTATTCTACAAAGACATTTTACAATATCTTCTCTATTTTATAGGTAGTAAACATTTTCTTAGCAGGTATAGTATAAATCTGTATAAAATTCCAAAATTTGTAGTCAATCCAGTCTGTTTTGACAATGTAAAAGCAAAAAAATAAGCAGTTTCAATCAAAAACTTGCAACAATAAACATAACATTTTTTTACAGCGAGTACTTATATATATAAACATTTCTCGCAGTCTCGTGGGAGCAACTATGTAAATATATCAGTGGAGTCATGAATCTCCAACTTTTTAATGCACGATAAATTAAAGTCTATGACTGTTGCTATGTTATTATTGGTAGGTACATATTTAGTCTTTAACCTGATACTTAAAATCACGAACACAATGGTCTAAAAAGCTTAAATGTCCTATTAATATTATAAATGTTAAAATTTGTAAGGATGGATGGGTGGATGGATGGATATTTGTTACTTTTGCACGTAAAAAAATACTAAATAGATTTAATTGAAATTTGGTACATAGGTAAGTTATAGCCTAAGTTATGCAGACAAATTTAATCTTAAATATCTTTAAGTTGATTTATTCGACTAGACTAGATAAGTTCTAGATTTTAACGTAAGATGTAAATTAAACTCACATGCCGAAAGCTCTGTACATACGTCTGAACTCCATAGCATTCACAAAAAAATCTTATTTAACATATAAAAACTAATGATACCTAAAATGATTCCATATTTCAAGTTGAAAGCTTTAGTAGTTGATGAGATACAACACTTTGACAAACCGATAGATGGGGGAGTAACCTATAAAAGATTTCTTTATACCTAACTATTTTCTTCAGAAACTTCTTTACCATCAATTAATTAAATACGCGAGTTTCGTTTATAAGGTTGTGTTGTGAAATATTTAAAACGTAAACCTAATAATTTCGTCGTGTGTTACGAAAAACTAGCTATGCGTGCTATGCGTATAAAGCTAATAGCTTTTGTAAGCTTAAGTTTAAGCAATAATTCTTTCGCGTACTATATATAGGATAACATAACAAATATTTTATTACATAAGAATTTCATATTGTTATATAATATAGAGCTATATTAATAAAATTAATATAAAGACAACCAGAAATAACATAATAAAGGAAAAAAAATAAATATTTTAAATACACCAAGGTAAGCAACACGAAAAAGGTAAGAAGCTACAATAGTTAAGGCTCTGCTCAACAGATACGTATTGCAAGATTAAACTGAATATATTATGAGATATAAGGATCATAAAAAAAAAAACAAGTTAATGTGATTTTAGTAAACTTTTAAAAAAATATTATGTACAAAAGGATGACAAAGAAATTTACAAAAACATTTATACAGCTATAACATTAAATTTCTTGATGCTTTATATTAAATATCCTATGTGGCCTACAAAATGAAAACAAACATAAAGAGATCCCGTTTATTAAAATCTGTCCATCTATTCATGTAATATTAAGAATAAAAAAATAAATTAAAAATAAAATCTCGCGCCCATTTTACATATATTTTTGACGAAATATTTGTTCTTGTATTTTTTATTTACACTCTCAGATTCCACTCTTAGATTCTGGTAGGAGACAACTAAATTATATAGATAACTAAAATCGACTGGTGATGGATTGGAGCTTCAAGCTCACGTTGATCTGTTCACAAATCTAAGGCACCCAAATGTTTCTAAAGAGCAGCTCAAGCTCTTCCTAAGAATTATTCGAAGGAGTAATTGCTGGCAGCTCAATAAAAATAACTGCTGATCGATTTGAAGTAAACATGCTACAGCTATACCAAGCCCCATGCGAGAAGGAGGAACCCGTACAGTTTTGATCAGTAAAAGTACTGCATTAGCGTCCTGTTCTACCGAGATAAATTCCATAAGGAAAAAAGGATAGACATATATATCTTAACCAACGGCAAACTATTCTATTTTACTATATTTAATAAAGGGAACGCTAAAA